CCAAGAGGGACACCGCCCGTTTTGGGGCGTCCCACAGTTTCTCCTCACCTCCGCAGGCCGCCTCCGAGTCGCGGCAGCCGCAGCAGGCAGCGCTCCCGGAGGCGGGTGAGACGTCCTGACTGCGGTCTTATGGGTGAGAAGCGAAAGGTCTGATCCAAGACTGTTTGGCAGTTTTCGGGGCTAAATCTGGAGTTTGGAAGCAACATCAACACAACAAATAAATAAATAAATATATATATATAATAAATATATAATATATATATATATATATATGGGTGTGGCTCAAAATTAAACAGCAGGCGTTACGCAGGTTTTGGTCCATGTTTCCACTTACCAGGGCAAGCCATTTTGGTACCGGTTTTTTGAGCCACAGCCATATATATATATATATATAACCCCGAGACGTGGTTGCCAACGCCGCGCGTATGGCAGGCGGCGGCGGCGGTCCTCCCGGTCGCCCTCCAGCAGGTCGCGGTCCCGGCGGCGCTGAGAACCTGAGGCCAGCGGCGATCGATCCAGCGACGGGGCTGGCGCTGGGCGCTGGCGCGAGCGAGCCGTGCGGAGCGGTTGGCTCACGTCCCGGTTGCGAGCGCTTGGGTGTTTGACTGGATTTGTGTTTGTTTGTTTCACGGGTTGCTTGTTTTGTTTGTAGGCGAAGCAACATGACTGAGTTCATGGACTAAAAGCCACTTGGGCTTGGAACGTTTTAGTGGTGAATCACAGGTTCAGACGGTTTTTGGCCAGTCCACTCGATCGGTGAGGTTGTGCCGTTCTACTGAGTCAACTTCCAGGGGCCCGAAACCGAAAATCCAGTCACAAATACGTAGGCAACAAGGTATTTTGCACCCTCAGGTTTTCTCTCTTCCCAAGAGTTCATGGACTTTAGTCGCTTGTTTGGTTGGTTGGAGCATTTGAGTGGCAAACAGCAGTTTGGACACTTTTTTTGGCCAGTCCACTTATAAAGTGAGTGGAGGGGCTCTAAAGTTTGGTGTCCTGGTCATCCTCTAACCGTGCTAAACCGGCCATTTTTTTGGTGAGTGTCCTTTTGGGATAAGGTTGATAGGTTGGAGCAATTCACCCAGTGCACCCTGAGATCCCATGGTGGGTCCACAACATTGTCATTCCACTGAACAATTGGCTCCATCGCCGTTGCTCAATCGCAGTTGCTTACTGGGTGTGGGTCTGAAATCAGGAACCCAAAAAAGCCTGAAGTTGGCTGGAAAGAAGACTCCAACAAAAATGGCTGGATGCGCCCTGGACAGAAGACCAGTCAACATTTGCAATCATTTTCGGGCACTCTCACCAACATGCAATGAGGACATGGGGCTCCATGCGTATCAGCACTTGAACCTGCACAAATCCCAGACCTTCAGCAGAGCCCCCGTGTCCTTACTCACTCTAAGATTATTTTAAGCGCGTTTGCTAAAGCATCTACTTCAATCCCAATATTTTTGGGTACACCTTATGGGGCTTTGTGCTTGTGTGTGTGTGTGTGCGCGTATCAAAGGCTGAATGTATGAATCTACACTAGTTTCCGGAGAACACCTGTTGACCATGAGCCAGGTTTGTCTCCCCCAAGCATTATATGCTCACAAAAAGATGCCTGCTGCTGGGGGGCACGACCCGTCCACCCGCTTTCAAGAGTTTGTGTTAACAGATGTTAAAAGTAATGTTCGAAGATCCAAATAGCGTGGGACAATTGGATGAAAACGTGTGACTTGTTGCAAAACCACAAAAGACCACATGCTGGCAGTGTTTTAATCTTTTGGACAAGAACAACTGGTAAGCAACGTGCGAGACTTTCTGCAGGGTAGCTGATTCTCCTTTTTTGGAGCACACAGCTGTGAGAGCCTTAGGGAGCATTTTGGGGATCTCAGGCCAAGATCACAAATGAGAGCCATGCATCTTGCTCTTCAGAGAAGCATGAACGACGCCCCACAAAATCTAGTTGAGTGTTTCTCAACATGGTGGCCCCCGTTTTGTTTGGTATTTCAAGGAACGCCAACAAGGACACCGTTGTTTTTTCCGGGGCCCGACTCCTACTTTCCTCACTTCCTGAGTTCCTGGACTTTGAACTTGTTGGGGCTGAAACATTTTGGTGGTAAATAAAACGGTTAGTTTCTTGTTTTTTGACCAATCCACTCGGGAAGTGAGTTTAAGAACCCCCCCCAGTTGACTTTGCAATATACCCAACGACTGGCCGCTCAGGCATGTGAGCCGGCGCCGGCGGAGAGATGGCGGAAGATGGCAAGCATCAGGGGAGTTGGGGTGGTTCGTTTTGGGATTACGTGCTTTCAGGAAGGGACTGGAAGCCCCAATTGCGGAGCGGTGAACGGTGAAGTTGCGCCGTCCCGAGCAGCCAGATCATATAGAGCATTTGTGCATGTGGGCCAACCAGTTGCCGAAGCCTCTCAGTGTCTCAGGTCCCCAGTCAAGACAAACACCCAAGAGCTATTGAAAGGGCAATCCAAATGTTGACATGATTGTTCTTGTTTCTTCTTTGGCGGTGCTGAAAGAATTTCTACACGAGCTGCTGAGTCTGACACGAGCCGAGTCTGTTTCGTGCTAGAAGTGCCGAGAGGTTTCGGTGGCCTTCAAGCGGTAAACCGGGCGACGTTGACTGGGGCTGTGTGCGACAGGTAAGAAAAAGTGTTCTGCGGCTTGACAACAGCGCTTCCATTTGCCTCAGGATATGTGAAAAAGTTTCCCTTTTCGGTTTGAAAGCGCATCGATTTTACTACTGGACTTTGTTTTTCCAGTGGGCTTAAGCAAATAGACGAGCATCAAACGGCACCCAGCGGCGTTGTTTTGTTTTTTGTTGCGCGCCCGCGCTTTTCTCCGCGCCTCTCTTCGGGCCTAGGAAACCCAGCAAACTCACAACGAACAGAAGGGTCCTTGTTTCCTTGTTTTTTGTTTATCAGACTTGGGTGTGTCTTGGCTCGGTGCCCATGTTTAGATTGGTTTTAAAGGGAGCCCAAAGGACACCAGCCACTTTTTTAGGATCCCCCCCACCCTGAATAACTTATAGGTTCACTCTGAATTCGGTGCCCTGGCCCCCCAAAGAGCACAGCACTTAACTCTGTAGGGATCCGCTTTACGGATGCATGTTGGCATGTTGGGGTATTCTCAAAGTTACTTTTGGTGGCTGGTATCCTTTTCAACTACCTATGAGCCACAATCAACACCCAGGTAGACGAAGGTTAGCAAGGCAAAACCACAAATAGCTGCGGCCGCCTTCTTAATTCTTTAAATGGTTCTGGTTAGACCATTTTAATACCGGGTTTTGATTATGACTCATATCATTTAGAGGGATCCCGCTTTCAGTCACTGCAATGGACCTGGCCAGGAATGTATTCGTACGAGTTAACATCCCACCTGGTTAGTGGCAGCCTCTTTTTCAGGGTTCCCATTTAAAAGTCCACCAACCCCAAAAGGATGCGCTGGTCTTCCCATGGAAATTCACTGGGCATTTGAGACATGGTTTGTTTCCTTGCTGCTTTCCTTTGCACTTTTTACTTCCCCCTGCTAGCAACCCCCGCGTTAAGAAAGACACCCAAACGGCACTGCGGGGACGAGTGCGAGGGAATGGTGTATGGAGTCTGGAAGTCGGGATTGAGAGTCAGCAATAAGGTTTGAACAAGATGCTGGCCCCTTCAAGGGACAACATTAGAGGTTGATTGAACAAATGTGGCTTGACAGCTCACTTGGGGACCAACACACCAACACGCACTCACAAAGACACAGACAAGGACACAGACACAGACACAGACACAGACACAGACACACACACACACAGACACACAGACACACACACACACAGACGCAGACACACAAACACAGGCACACAGACACACAGACACACAGACACACAGACACACAGACACAGTCACACACACAGACACACAGACACACAGACACACACACACAAACACAAACACACACACACACACACACACACACACACACACACACACACACACACACACACACACACACACACACACACAGAGACAGACATATAGACACACAGACACGCAAACACAGACACACAGACACACAGACGCGCAGACACACAAACACACCACACACCACACACCACACACCACACACCACACACCACACACCACACACCACACACCACACACCACACACCACACACCACACACCACACACCACACACCACACACCACACACCACACACCACACACCACACACCACACACCACACCCACGCACCCACGCGCGCACACCAGGCTGTCTTTGTGTTTTGTGTTTGTGTGTTTTGTGGTGTGGCCGTCCGGTGTTGCTGTGCGCGTGTGTGTCTGTGTGTCTGTGTGTCTGTGTGTCTCTGTATTTTTGCGTCTATTTTTGTTTGTGTATCTGTATGTTTGCGGGCTTGCGTGTTGTCTGTGTATAAAGGCTTTCCTTTTGGCCACGCGTCATCCAAGTGAGCTCGCCGCAAAGCCAAGCATTGGCTCAACACTAAGCGAGGAGCTCAGTTTTCAGGTAATTGCACGAAGGACTCCACGGCTAGCCTCAAGATGACCAAACCAAAAGGAGGGAAGTTGGTTTACTATTGTTTTTGGGGCCAACACCCACAAGTTTGTCCCACGATCGGATCGGCTCGAATGGGAGCAACCCACATCTAGTAGAAACCCAAGCAAAATATTCCTTGCGCTCCTTGCGCTCTTGACAATGTGAGCGAAGACCCCAGCAGTCCAGCAATGTGTGCTTCGCTGTTTTCTTTTGTTTGAGTGCTCCATGCTGTGCTATTGGTTGTTTGTATTTGCATGTTAATTGTTCCTTTTTTTGCGATTGCTCATTGACCCGAACTTTGTCGTCCGTTGATCATGATGAAAGCTCATCAATCGTGTGATCCTGTGCATTCCACCATGTTTCGGGCACCAAACAAAAGCAGGATTGCTCCAAGCCTCTAACATGTGATCAACAATCTGTGGTTTCCCGTACCAGGGACAACGTTTCGACCAACTTATACGTTTCGCAACCTGAAAAGGACATCGCGTCATGTGGCAGCTTGCTTCTGCTATCGCCGTGAGCGCTGTTCGGGCCGCCCAGCTCGTTCCCGCAAAGTAGGAACCAGGGGTTCGTCAATTTAGTGTTCCTTTTTTGGGAACCTCTTTTGTTGGGATCCGGTGTTTTGTTTATTTCCTAGGGCTGGTTTTTCTTACTAGGGCTGGGTTGGATGTTGCTTGGTGGGCTGGCTGGCTGGCTTGCCGTCCCCGTCATAACCAGCCTCAATTGGCCTGGAGGTTGCCTATTGGCTGTGATTGGGAGGCAGTTGGGAGTTGCTGGCTGGTTTAAGATAAGGGGGGTTTAGGCTGGCTTAGATCTTCATTTGGGTGGGTCTTGTGGTGGTTTGGGGTTGATTCAGGGCTGACATCCAGACTGCTGTTGAGCGGGTTTAGGGTTGAGTTTGGGTGGATTTGGGGTTGATTTGTGTTGGGTGTGCTGCTGGCTAAGCAGTGCTTTCAGGGTTGCTTTTGGGATGTGGTTACGTGAGTTTTGGCCTCGTTTAGGATTGGTTTTAGCGCGTTGCCCCAAACCACCAAAACTCGCCCACAACTCACGCAACAACATTCCTAAAGCAACCCTGAAGGCACTGTTTTTCCAGCAGCACACCCAACACAAATCATCTCCAAGCCCACCAAAAATCCACCCAAAGTCAACAAACCTACCCGACAGCAGCCTGGATGTCAGCCCTAAATCAACCCCAAACCACCACAAGACCCACCCAACTCACCCCCGCCCTTGACTTAAACCAGCCAGAGCCATAGGCAACCTCCAGGCCAAGTGGTGCTGGTGATTCTGGGGATGTTGCCAGCCCTGCGGAAAACCAGCCCCAGGCAAAAAAACAGCCCTAGGAAAAAAGCAACACCACTACCCTTTTGTTGGTTTTTCAGGGATACCAGAAGGACAGCGACAGACGCAGTCCTTGGAAACTGTTTGGTACATTCATCCCAGATGGTTCCACCCTTTTGGAGCTTCCCACGCCGGATTCATACTTGGGGCATTACCAGTTGCAGCCGGTCGAATCGATCTGTTTGCCCAGTTTGGACCTCCAAAAACTCGGTGAACACCCAGCCGCCACAAAGCGCGACCAGACGAATTAGGGGAACTTGGGCACTAAATGGATGAATGGCCACCTCTGCTTTGTTGGACAATATTGTCATTCCTGACGTTGTTCGTTGGCTCGCTCCCTGAGTTCGAGGACACATATTTTCTTGGAATACCACTTCAGTGGATGACAAACAGTTTGGACTTTTTGCCGGCACATTCTCTCAGGAATTGCGTATCAAATTCCAAGTCTGCAATGTCGCTGGCGCCTCTTAAAAGATAGTAATTTGATTCTGTGACAATTCTGTGCATCTGTCTTGCACCTTGTATCACGAAGGTCGCACATATGAGGGTCCATGGAGCATTTTGCTTGGATGTTAGGTTTTTGACTTGTTGCCAACGGTTTTTCATTAAATCACTAAAGTTAAACTTTTAGCAGGGGAGCAGAAAGCAACCGAGGGTCTGTAGGAGTAAGTCACAGGGCTACATGGGATGGCGGCCTCTTGTGCTTCAAGTGGAGCAGCATGTCCTGCTCGCGAGTAGCCAGGGTTCAGAAACCACACCACGATGCCACCCTCACCTTTTGTTTGGCAGTTTCTGGCTAGTTTCCTTTTGGGGGGTTGCTGAATTCCCACCCCAGCCCGGGAAATCTGCTTGGCTTGGCTTTGTTTGCCCCTGATGGATATCGGGTAGGGCGCTTCGTGTGGTCTCAACCGATGCCTCCCAAAAGACTCTGGTTAAGGGTCTGAAGAACCCGGCCAAATCCGGGCCTACACTCCCCGCTGATACACATAACGTGCAGAGCCGGAATTGCCGCCCCGATGGATGACACCCTCGAGGAGAAAGCCCCGGGTTTTAGCGGGACATTGGGTCGGCTTTGGGAAACGTGCGGCGGCTCTGTTGCCCAGTGACGCCCATTTCCCCTTTTTTTGGGGAAGGGTTCCGATTCCTTTAAACTCAACCAATCCAAAAAATCAGATGCTGACTTGTTTTCCCATGGAAATCCACGGGGCATCCAAGCAGGTCTTGGTGATTTGGCTGCAGCCCAAGGATGCCAGGCGCGGGCTGCCTTGGATTCAAGAGATGTCCGAAACTCCTGGTTCAGAGTTTCTCGGAGAGAGGGGATATCTTCTTCGTTTTTTGGGTTTCAAAGGTAAACTCCTGGGCAAGCCACCTTTGCCCAAATGGTGTGGACCCCGTTTTGGTGGAGATGTCAAGGGACACCAAAAGGCAACCAATATTTTGTGGCGCCCCAAAGAGAGAGGCCCGGAGTTCTTTTGTTTTTTTCCAGCAGGACATCACCAGTTTAGCCGCCACAAGTTGAGTTCCGTCTAGGTGTGATGCTTGGCAGACAGCAATATCGTCGGTCTACCAAGAGGAATCCATTGGACCATTTTTGGGCAAGTCTGCTTTTCCCCATACTCGCATCCTTTCCAACGGTTGTCCCCAAGTACCCGGACAAGGCCGGGTCTGAGTTTGCCAGGAACACGCTGGGTTCTGGTTGGGGCAAACTTTAAATTTGTAATCGAAGGGACAATGTTTTTGTTTGTTTGTTGTGTGTTTTTTTGTTTTATCTTCGTCTCTGTGGTACTTACGGATTGGGGTCGCAGGTTGCGCTGGGAGGCCTTCATCTTGGTTGCGAGGGATAGTGTTTTTTTTTTTTTTTTTTCTCCGGGTACTCGCATTTCTTGTGCGCGGCACTACTTCGATGTTTAACTCAAGTCCGAGGAAAAACATGCAGGCGCCTGACAAAGGGGGAGGTAAAAAAACAACAACAACAAAAACGCAGGTTCTCCTGGGCTATAAAAAGAAGGGAGATCTTCGGGGTTGGGCAATGTTGGTTCAACAACCAGGCCTTGGTTCTGTTTTTATGGGAAGCCACAGCCATGTTGTGTAAACATGTTTCAACAACAATGGTTTGCGCCCTCCTAATAGCAATTGGGTTGCCCCGCGCTGTCCTTCGATTTGAATAATCTGTTAAGATAGGGAACCTGGTCCCAAATCGTGGTTTTCTTTTGGGTCCCTTAAAACCAACCCTGCCCCTCAAAGAGGGTGTTGGTCCGAAAATGCGGCTCGGTAGGAAGGCCCTGGTGCCGCCGGTGCAGACAGGCGCCGAGAACGCGACGGCGACGGATAATTCCACAGCGACTGCTAGCGCGGAGGCGCTGCGTGCGCGGAGCGGGACGCTGTGCGGGGAACGGACGTATGTTTCTGGGCAAGATCAGTGTAGTATGAAATATATCAACATATTGTTGTCAAAGATCACCTTCAGGGCCTTCTAAAGTAAGTGTCAAATTTTAAGTGGGCTGAGATGCATTGAGGAAACATGCGGAACCCAGCGAAATCACGGGCTCCTCCGCCTACCTTCTTATTCTTATCCGCCTGGAATCGCTGCCGTACTTGACTGACCTGAGCCCGTTTGCGTTTCTGGAGTTTTCCCTTGAGCAGTAATTCAACAGTTCGCTTTTTGCGGGGGGTCGGATCTGTTTGGCAAAAGCATTGCAGCCCCCGCTAATTGGAGTACATATGGTTTTATAGGAGTTATAGTATGGCCTCTATACACCTGTACCAGACTATGCTCGCAAAACCTCAAAAAATACGTTGTGTTTTGGGCGCTGCTCATTCGGAGGACAAGCTACAGGCTTGGTCAAAATCCACCCGAAAGTTGGGAGGGCACTTACATTGTCTGAGGGTTAGCTAGACTCACCAGGGCCTACAGAGGGTGAATTGGTCAGGAGAAACAAAGCCACCCCCTCTTCTTGAAAGGTTTTGAAGGAACCTTTTGGAGGCGTTTTTTTTTGGGGGGGGCTTTTGTTTTTCCTTTAAAAAGAACCAACCATTGGTACCGAGCCTCAAAAAAAGACGGGCCAGGTTCCTTGGACCAATTGAAGTCCTTGTTTGCGCCTTTCGAGGCAAAGGCCCCGCGGAAAGGCAAGGGCAGCAAAGGCGCGGTGCGGATCGTTGGATGGCCTATGGGTGTGCCTTAAAAATAGGGGACCTCAATGGTTAGTTGTTTGTTTCCCTTGGACCCCCCCCCAAAAGAAACAAAGTTCCCTCAAAGGGTGTCATGGTTTCGTCCATGCCAACTTTGTCCATCCACAGTGCACAGGCCTAAGAAGATAGGTTGGGGTCGCAGGGTACTTTCAAGCCGAAAATAAAGTAACGAATGGCAAACTAGTAGCAATTCTCGGGACAAAACTTTTGTTGACCGGAATCCCCATCTAAATGGTGTCCACCAATGACGATACCCATAATATGATTTGGCTCTACAGGCAGGATCAAGGGATTGCTTGAATCGCGGGAGCCTCTGCGGCCCAGGTTTGGTTTGCCAGATCCTTGAAACGTTCCGGAAGGAGCAACAGCGCTGGGATTTGAGAACTCTGTGTGTGAAATTCGGGCTTTTATTTTTGTACGGTGCAAGACTTGGGGGTCGACCCCTCTGATTCGAAAGGGTCCCCGGCTCCCGGCTCCATGTCTTACCACTTCCCTCCTCTCAGTTCAGGCCCCTGGTTTGGTTCCGATGCTCGCCCATGGTGGGTTCCATATTGTCGCCATGGCTGCAAAGATCGGTGTTTTGCTGACGGGGTCAAGAAATGGGGGTCTGACCGTCTGACCCCTTTCGGGCTGTGCCTGAAGAGCACAAGAAAACGGTACAGACACGATGGGCACACCTGCTGTTTGAGGGCGCTTGAGGAAGCTAAGGAACAGCTGGAATGTACCTAGGGCCATTTATTTTTTTTTTGGTGGCCTTTTGGTGTTGTTGTGCAAGAGCCAAAAGGAAAAGCTGAAGGACTTGCAAGCCTAGTTGTAAGGGTCCGTCCGCAGAGTCTGGGGGGGGGGGAACTGAGGGTTAACAGCTGCGTGGGGTACAGTAGCTGGGGGTCACCAACAGTGTTGAACATGATTGCTGTTTATTTAACAACCGTGGATCCAACATGTTTGTTCAAGGGGTTGAATCGCCCCACCCTGGAACCACTCAGCGATTCAGATCTCGAGCGTTGCCAGGCCCTCCCTACCCCCGGCTGCCTGCAGAAGAGCGCACCAGCGCAGGGCGGCCCAAATCTTCCGTACAGAAGGGGATAAACCACACCCTGGTTGTGTTCTCTAATCTCGCCGTGTTCCTTTTGTATCCTCCTTCTCAAAAGCAAAGCAAAGCAAGGGTATGCCGAAAACAGACTCATTTCAATTTTGAGACCGGGATTAATCAGCCTGTGCTTGATTTTTTGTTGGGCACATCCCATGCAACCCCCCCCCCCCCCGCCGGCCCGGGGCGCCTTGCGGAGAAAGGCCCCAGACTTCATTCAACTTCCCTTCAAGGTTTCTTCCGAACCTAGAATGTAATGGAGCGGTTGGTTTTCTGCTGATGTCGATTGAACCTTTTATAGAATGTAAGCATGTAGCTTCCTGGCGATGCCGATTCTCTCGGCTGAAAGGAAGTTCTTGTCACACTTGCATAGTTCTGGCCAACCTTTTCTTCCATTTGCTTAAGACTATGTGTTATTCTTGCTTGAGAATATGTGTTAATTTGCTCTGTTGTCTTTTTAGTTGGAATTTATCACCACTGGACATATTTTCCATGAATCCAATTGCTCACTCCCTGAGTTGCTGGACTTTAACCTTTTTTGGGAAGACCGTTTTAGTGCAAAATCGAAAGTTCAGATGTGTGTTTTGCCAATTCACTCAGGAAGTGAGAATTCCCTGTTCACTTCCGCACAGCGCAGTTTAATGTCAAAGTTATTTTTGAAAGTCTCCCGGGCTCCTTCAACGATAGAGCTTGGCCAGTTCACGCATGACATGTTTCACCAGAGGGAATCATGTTGGGTGTAAGGTTCAGGTGCATACTATGCAACTTATGTCACCACATTCAAATGACCTGCTGGCTCTATCTTGCCCAGGGTATGCCGGCAGAACCCTTAAAAGAACGTCACAGCTTGGTGGCTCCCGGTTCCAGAAAGCTTTGTTTAAAGCTTTTTCGTTGGTTCCTTCGCTAATTGGTAATTAGCGGTCGTGTTAGTTGGTTTGGTTGGGGTTTCCGTATTTTACGCCGCGCTTTGGTCACCGGCCCGAGGCGAGGCGCTGGACTCTTCAGGAGCTGGCCCTGCACGACGGCGAGAGCCGGGAGAGGCTGCCGGGGGGGGGGGGGGGGGGTTACCCTGGATAAGCCTGGGATAGGCCAAGTTGATAAGCCCTCAATAAGGCCTTAAGGGGTCAAAAGGACAAGGGAGTTGCGCCATCTACTTTCAGCCTGTGGCTGGCACCTCTACCGTCATGTTGATCGCTGTGTGAAAGCCAGCTTAAACAATCGTCATGTCCACCAAGCAAACCAAGACATCAACAGCTCTTTCTTGGGACTGATTTGGGTGTTTGTTGTCCACCACCAGTTGTTTTTCTTTTTCTGTGGGAAAGTTGTTTCGGTGTTCAGTTCATGGGTTGCACGGGGTTGGGCCCCCGGCTCAACCGAAGTCCCTAGGTTTGGCACGAGCGGTTGCTTTCGCGAGTCGGGGCATACAAAAAAAAATCCTGGGTGGTTGGGTTGGTGGTTTCCAGTCATCCCCCTAGGCTTTTAGGTTTCTAGGGTTTAGTGGTTGGGTTTCCATTCAACGCACAAGTTAGTCATTGTTAGCAAGGGATCTGAAAATGGATAGTTCAGTTAAAGCGAGTTTGTTGGTGAGTGGAACCCATTGAGGATAGATATGGATGCTGTTGGCTGTTCCATGTTCATTGGAGAGTATCGCAGAAATATGGGTGTGCTATTCTTGAGGGTACCCGTTTTAGTCTGCGCTCGCGTGGAACTGGTCCGATTGCCACGTAGGCCTTTGCTGTTGGCCATCTTGGGGGAGGTCTACGACGTGGGCCCGGGGGAGAGGCGGAGCGACCTGAAACGACATGAAGCGGAGAACGACGAAATGTGTGTATGGCTTCGGGTTGGCTGAATGGGCAGGAATGGGACCCCCGCATGAATCAACCCCAGTTTGTTCGTAGGGTGACCGCCCTGAGTTTATTGGGGAATCAGACGACTTTTGGAGGGCAACACCCTCTATTTATAGCATGGGTTTACCAATCCGGGAACATTAGCCTCATTAGCCCTAGGGTTTACAAGAAAATGGGGTTTCCTTGCGTCTGCTTGTGGCCGGTGGGAGCACTTCTAAGCATCATATTAGTGTGGGGATGTGTTTGTTTTTCTGAAGAGGGTTCTCCCTGACTCAAGACAAACCCATGCAGGAATGTTCAGCTGACCCACAGGTCGGGAGTGATACAGCACTCCATGAGGCAAATTACTTGGAAAATCCACAACTACATATGTTATAGTTCTATATGAGGCACTCAGCGGGTCAGCCCTGCTCCTCATAGCCGATTCTGCATGTTCACCCAAGTTAGCCCTCCACAGAAGCAGCCCAGTTGAAGGTAGATCCCTCGGCCTTTGAACCTTCTGGGACTAATCTGTCCCTTTTTCACAGCAAACATAGACTTTTGCCACTGAGTCTGGTCAAGTCTGAGTTGGTTGGTCCTGGCAGGTGAATCACCTAAGCCTTGCGGCGGAACTGTCTAGGATTTTTCAGATCAGGGACCTAGAAAAGTCGAAGGCCCAGTCCTACGTTGCACTCGCTTCCCTTAGGCTATAGCAAAAGGGTACCCTTATTCTAACCTCTCTACTGGAGGACCTAGATGGCGGAGCTTAGACCTTTTGGGATCAACTCCCACTTCGGAAAGAGACTTTTCCTGCCCTAAGTCAGGGCGGGTGCGCACAACTCTCTCGAGATGGTTCCTGGCGAAGCCTTCAGGGCGGCTTGCCGTTGGGGCGGGGGGAAAAAAAACATCGCTTTTCGGGTTCTTCCATCTGAAACGAATAGGTATGGGTCAAAATTAAACCATCAGGAATTGAACCGCAGGTTTTGGTCCATGTTTCCACTTACCAGGGTTCCATTTTGGGTACATATTTTTGACCGCACCCATATGTTGTTGATTTTCCCCGGTTGGGTTTCAAGGGAATCTATCACTGGCGATATTTTTTGGTAGGGGGTTGAAGCAAATGGAAGTGTAGGGAAAGAAGCCGCAGGAGAGGGTCGCAGACCCCAGCGTCTTCGATGCACCGGGGAAAGCCTCAGGTTCTACGGGCCTGGTGAGGGGTACCACGTCTTCGCCGGCAAGGACCGGAAAACTCGTGCACCTCAGGAAGTAAAGTTGGGGCGAGGCGTTTGGCGCAAGTTGACTTTGGTTCGATCTTGTGACTTTTCCACTCCAGGTGCGTACCAATATGCTATTTCCTCCGCGGTTTTTAAGGGAATCTACTATCACTACTGGACTTTTATACGTTCTCCGGGGGCCTTAAGGAGATGGATGTCATGATTTGATGACTTTCCTCCAGGCACCTTCTTGAGCAGGGATCCCTGCGTGATGGGATCGTTTGTGAGAGACGCGCTTGAGGTTCAGTTGATCGATGTTCTTACTCAGTTGGACCTTCCAAATGCTTCGGGAAGACAAGTTTAGTGAGTCAAGACTTTTAGGCCAATCCACTCCACTCAGTGAGTATTTCAGCGCCTGGAGTTCGAGCCCACCATTGGACTCTCGGCAATTCAGAGGGGTTGATGCCCCATTTCGAACCAGCAGTTTCTTGAGTTGAACAAACTACTTTCCCAGGGTTTCAAATGGTTTCTGACAAAAACAGGACGCGAGCCGAGCCTTTACCACCGGCCAGTTCAACGACGGAGCTGTTCCAGGACAATGTTTGTCGCACGAATTTTCGGAGTCCTTCGGTCGGGAAATCGGGATGGTGCCCACAGGTGTCCTTTTTGGTTGTTTTGGTAGGAAAATAGATGGCGATTCCTGGTGGTTTACTCATCTGCCAGGGCAATCTATTTGCATTGAAAGGACACCTATGATGGTGCCATGGACACGATGCGGTTGGATTGGTGGGAACTGGAACTGGATTTGCGCGGGTCCCTGGCTCTTGTAGAGGGTCAATAGGAAAATTCACCCCGGAACACCACCCAACCACCGATTCGACTCCAAACCACCAATGTGAGGCTGCAAATTTTTGCTAGCAGCTTCAAGGGAAAGGGAAGCCGACGCCCGAAGGTTCTTGCAATATATTGCGTCCTTTTTTAGGAGGGTTCCCTCTTGTTTCCTCACCATTTGAGGCTTGAACCAGGGGTGCTAAAATCGCAACAACTGCGGAAGGTGAAGGTTGGGGGACAGTCCCAGCCGTGAATCGTTGCAGACATCATCAGATATCAGCCCCTTTGATTCTTTACAACAGTTTGGGTTGACCTCTTTAATGTCAGGTTGTGATTATGATTCAAATGTCTCCTGTGTTTGATGCGCTTTACCGAGCTCCTTTTGAAGAATATGTAATTTTATTTGCACTTTGTTGCTTGACTTGGAAGGGCAACTCGTCCCAAAAAGAGGACTGGGCAACTGGGTGCCGAAAGGGACGCAACTCCTGCTAAATGGCTGCGGAGGGGTATTTATTTTAGGTTTTTTTTTTTTTTTTTTTTTTTTTTTTCGTTTTTTTTTTTTTTGGATTTTTTTCGCTTTTGGCTTCTTGGCTTCTTGGCTTCTCGGCTTCTTGGCTTCTTGGCTTTTCGGCTTCTTGGCTTCTTGGCTTCTCGGCTTCTCGGCTTCTGGGCTTCTTGGCTTCTGGCTTCTTGGCTTCTTGGCTTTTCGGCTTCTTGGCTTCTCGGCTTCTGGGCTTCTAGGCTTTTCGGCTTTTCGCATCCTCTGCATTCCCAGTTCCTCTTCGGCAGGTGGCGTTTTTCCGACATCAATGGGGGGGGCTGCCGGCCCCCCCCAACCCCCCCGCTACGTTTTAGATTTTCTGCAGAGATTTAATTAGTTGCACCCCTAGTTGAATCATCAATTCTTCGAACATCATGGGGGGGTTTGCACCCCTAGTTGAATCATCAATTCTTCGACCATCATGGGGGGGGGCTGCCGCCCCCCCCCAACCCCCCCGCTACTTTTTAGACTTTTTGCAGAGATTTAATTGCACCCCTCTTCAAATCATCACTTCTGCAAACAACATCGTGGGCGGCAGCCCCCAACCCCCCCGCTACTTTTTATATTTTTTACAGGGATTGACATGCCCTCCTACTTGAATCATCATTTCTTTGACCCCGTCACACGATTTGTGGGTGATGCTAGGGATGTTGGTGGGACATGCGGGGGATGTTGACGGGCTAGTGTAAAATGCGTCAATTTCGCGAGAACATCCTGTAAAATTCGACACTTTACTGGCCCGGCAGAGATTGAATTGCACCCCTGTTTGAATCATCACTTTTTCGAGCGTCCAATTTCGCGAGAAAATGCTGCAAAATACGACATTTTAGGTAATCTGTGTAGTCCGTGTATGTCTGTATGTATGCATTTCTTCGAACATCATAGGGGAAGCCACCCCCGCTATCACACCCTTTCTTGAATCATTGCACCCTACTTGAATCACCACTTCTTCCGACATCATGGGGGGGCTGCCGCCCCCCCCAACCCCCCCCGCTACGTTTAGATTTTCTACAGAGATTTAATTAATTGCACCCCTAGTTGAATCATCAATTCTTCGAACATCATGGGGGGGGGCTGCCGCCCCCCCCAACCCCCCCGCTACTTTTTAGACTTTTTGCAGAGATTTAATTGCACCCCTATTCAAATCATCACTTCTGCAAACAACATCGTGGGGGGGGCTGCCGCCCCCCCCCAACCCCCCCGCTACTTTTATATTTTTTTACAGGGATTGACATGCCCTCCTACTTGAATCATCATTTCTTTGATCCCGTCACACGATTTGTGGGTGATGCTAGGGATGTTGGTGGGACATGCGGGGGATGTTGACGGGCTAGTGTAAAATGCGTCAATTTCGCGAGAACATGCTGTAAAATACGACATTTTAGGTAATCTGTGTAGTCCGTGTATGTCTGTATGTATGCATTTCTTCGAACATCATAGGGGAAGCCACCCCCGCCAACCCTCCCGCTGCCTTTTAAATTCTATCACACCCTTTCTTGAATCATTGCACCCCTACTTGAATCACCACTTCTTCCGACATCATGGGGGCTGCCGCCCCCCCCCAACCCCCCCGCTACGTTTTAGATTTTCTACAAATTCTTCGAACATCATGGGGGGGGCTGCCGCCCCCCCCAACCCCCCCGCTACTTTTTAGACTTTTTGCAGAGATTTAATTGCACCCCTGTTCGAATCATCACTACCCCGCTCTGTTTTTCTTGGATTTTGTTACCCACCATTTGTTGGTGATGCTAGGGATGCTGGTCGGACATGCGGGGGATGTTGAAAACGCTGCTGGGGATGTTGACGAGCTAGTGAAATGCGTCAATTTCGCGAGAAAATGCTGTAAAATACGACACTTTGCTGGCCCGGACGAAAAACGGAAAAAAATCAACAAAAAAAAACCAAAAAAAAAAAAAAAAACGAAAAACATTCCCAAAATAAATCCGCACCCAATGGCTGCTCCCATCCACTGTCCTGAAATCCCGAGAAAAAGAACTCGCTACAGCAAGGGGACTAGCCGTTTGGCAACCAAATGGAAAGATAAGAAAACAAGAAGCCCTTTGACCAGCCTCGCATGTCCCCTTGAAACATTACAATCCGAGTTAAGTGCATGTGCAGCACGGAAACCCAAAAGAGGGTCCAAATGCTTGTATTCGTCAGTGCTTTTTGGCAATTAGATTTGGGACCCCCAAAACTTGGCTGCCCAAGTTTTGGAAATCCAGATGTTCAGTGGATTTCCAAGAAACAAACTCTATGTTGTCTGGTTGCTGAAGGGCAACCCCTGAAACTCTACCAAGAGCGTCCCTCAAGATCCGTAGTTTTTTTCTGCGATCGCCGGCCTCGGCCGTCCTTTGCCGTGGGCAAAGCTCCCGGATTCGGTGCGCCGAAATGGGCGCAGCTTGAAGTTCACAAAGCGGTGCTCGAGTACTCGAGCCCGATGATTGGGGGTCCGGGGTTCATGGATAGTAAGTCTACTGATATGGCTGTGGCTCAAAAAACCGGAATTCCAGAATGGCTTGCCCTGGCAAGTACCAAAACCTGCGGTTTCTCCCTGCTGTTTAATTTTGAGCCACATCCATATGGGCACTTAGTGTTTTTTAGCAACCTTGGTACAGCCAAAACAAAGGCCCTTTCTGACGAATCCGAGCGCCGATTCCAGAACCATCGTACAGCACCCTAAGCATCACGCGGCCTTCTGGCCAAGGAGATACTGTTACCCATTTTCACCCCGTATCAACCTGAAGGGTACCAAACCCCCCGCGAGAGAAAGTGACGGCAATTGCATGAGGACTGAAGGGTCTCCTTCCGGAGCAGATCAGCGATGTGATCAGTTGCTCGGCGATGTCCGGTGAGTCTGGGGATGAGTTCGTCTTGTGTCTGAGAAGTTGGAAACTATTTCTGCGAATGAAACTTGTCCATATGATCTGATGTCGCCCACAGAGGCCACAAATCCAGGAATTTGCAAACGCACAAAGACACTGAGTTGTTTCCCCTGCTTGAGCTCATTTGGTCATAATCCATAATGTCTCCCTGATGAAGGAGCAATCATGCAGAGGGTGGGGAGTGGGGATGGGAAACCAACAGCATCCATAGCGCCGATTGGGGACTACCTCCTTTTGAATAGCCCCTGTGGGGTTGTCTCCAAAGAATTGTGAAACTCCCCAAATGGATAGTTGTCCTTTGAACTCCTTTTTGGAAGCTCGTTTACATAAGGACAGCCGCAGTCAATCATCTCTTCGAGTCAGGTCTTGGAAGTTGCCATCTATGTTCAGCTGGGCAGTATGAATGTTAACCCTGGCTCATGTCCTTTTACCAGAACCGTTTCAAGCTCCCAGATGCCCAGGCCACAAAGGATTGCGCTGATGGGTTTTAGTGCGGGTGTCTGTGTGTTCCCAGTTGGCTTTCAAGGCGCATGGTCGTGATTGGTGAAGCCGTGTTTGGATCGCGGATTCTTCAGCAACTGGAACAACTCCTCAGTCAACCGCTTCTGATGCACGGGTTCGCCAGGGAGAAGCCAATATGGTTTCGCTCAAGCAAAAAGGTCTCCTCATGTTGCACCAACCCTCAAAGCAGAGAGTTCAAACTTGAGTGGCCTATGAAGCGAGCAGCTTGGAGCTTTTTGGGAGCGGATTTCCTCCGGATATCGTCCACCTTCTAGGATCCGCTCATCCCTTTCTACATCCGCTGGATCAGTTTGACAGAGAATATCTTATTGGAACATCACATCTGGGGATGTAACGGTATTGTAATACGGTGGATGGACGAAATACTGCACCAATTTGAAACTATGGGAAACCGGGGTTTGTTGGTATGTACAGGGGAATCATCATTCCAATCTATTCTTGGATGGTGCAGGATTTTGGCCATCCACAGTATTTGCAGATTCTATGAGTATTGCGGGACCATTGAGGGCTTCTGGCCGTTCCGGGAGCTCGAGGCTGGAGGTCCTTCTACCAGAAGAGCGACAAGTATCGCTTCGTAGGCGCGCTGAGCTGGCGAGCTGGCTCGATCCCCCGCCTGGCCTAGGGGACGCACCATGGCCTAGGGGAAGGCCACCTTGTCAGTCCTGTTTCAGCCTGTGTAACAGTTTCAATCCTGTTCGATGTGTTTCAATTGCGTGTGTCGTTTCAATTGTAGGCCGTATGTGGCTAAACTCTGCTGCAACAACAATCAGGCCGTTGCAGCCTGTTTGCTGAAGTAAAGCAGGGGACCTTGGAAGGGCAGCGTAGCGGGACAACTCGACTGAAGCCTTTTTTTTGTTTTTTTGTTTTTTTTTGTTGGGGGCAGCCTGTTCAGTGTTTCTTTGTATGGCTGTGCTTCATTCTTGCTCCGGATTTGTGCCGCCCAGTCACCCCTTCCCCTCAGGAAAAAAAACGGAAGAAACACTGGGTATCCTCAAAATAAGACATGCCCTCTTTCCAACAATGATGGACGTGGACAGGAATATGTTCGGAAGACTACCGGCCTCTTGAAAAGGCGCTTGCATGATTGTTGGCCAAAACACACTCGCTGCTTTCCTGGAGCGTTGGCAAAGCGCAGGATATCTTGTTGGGGACTACTACGACGAGGACTGGAGCTGGCCTGCAATCGGACATCAGCGAGCTTTCATATTACCAGTTTCAGTCTCAATCGTGGCAAGTCGGGGCTTTTGCAGTTCCCATAGATGCAGTTGCCGTGTCTTTTGATCAGTCGCAACCCCCTGTTTTGCGCAGTAAATGGATCCTGCGTTTGGTTGATGAGGTTATTTTGCTCTCAAAGAAACACACTTTGTGGGTTTCCAAGGTTCCATTGAGTGAATCTTTCACTACTGGACATATTTCCTATTTTCTCCAGGGGCTTTAAGCAAATGGGCTGTGTTGGGGACTATTTGGTCCAGGAGGCGCAACCTTTGCGCGCGCTGCTGGAGCTTGAGGCCTGGGTTCGGACTTGGGACACCAGAAGCCACCATTGCCACGGGATTCGGTTCGCAGAAGGTGCCGTTCTAGAAGACAATACAAACTACTGTACCAAACCAGAGGAAGTCATTATGAGAAAGAAATGCTTGTTAGTCAGGCCCTAGTAGAAGTGCATTGGCGAGCTCCCCTGAAAGTAGAACCAGCGCTTTATGGTTCACGCCTTCACTTGAGGATCTCTCGCTTCAAGTTTTGGGATCATTGATACATCTTGCAGACTCGGCATCCCAGCCACATGGAACGTTCCATTGCAGAGGAAGATCGCCCAAAGCAGGACCTTCTTTCATCAGGGTGCATGGCAACCTGGGAGGGTGGTGAAGGCATTGGTTTGGAGTGTTTCATGCGGCCAATGGAGTATTGCGCTCATTTAGGTTCAATTTTTGTGCTACCAGGCGGCTTCGAGCGACTACCACAGTTTGCCGATGCGATTCAGCTCAGGTTGCTTGAGAAAGATTGTGCCTTTGGTTGCTCCTTACCCCCAAATGATGTGAACTCGTGTGTGTGTGTGTGTCAGTGTGTGTGTGTGTGTGTTTGTGTCAGTGTTTGTGTGTGTGTGTGTCAGTGTGTGTGTGTGTGTCAGTGTGTGTCAGTGTGTGTCAGTGTGTGTCAGTGTGTGTCAGTGTGTGTGTGTGTGTGTCAGTGGGTGTCAGTGTCTGTATTTGTGTCTGTCTGTCTGTGTGTCTGTGTGTCTGTGTGTCTGTGTGTCCGTGTGTCCGTGTGTCTGTGTGTCTGTGTGTCTGTGTTTTATTTGTTCTTTGAGGAGGGTAGCAGGCCCACCACGCGGCCGCGAATATGAGGCCCTGCAGTCCCAGACGGATGCGAACCAAAAGGCGGGAGAGAATCTCCGTGCGCCAACCATTTTTGTCCCATGTTCGGAACCCCAAGAGATCGTTACGACCAGCCAATGGCTTTATATAGGGAATTTCAAAGGAGATTCTTTCAACAGGGGGGCAGCCCAACCCTTGTTGACGGCTGAGGTGAGCGTGTGGTTGCGATTGAAACGTCGCATGTGCCATGGTCAAACACAATTTCAGGGGTGGTGATGGACCCTTTCTAGGATTTTTAGACAATCACAAAGAAACCATGGCTCGCCAAAGGAGTTTTGACCCTGGCAGACGACATGGGGAACCTCAAAAAGCCGAGGGGAGGGAGGGGCTCGGAACTGTCTGAAAAGGAAGGAACCGCTACACCGGCTTCGGTTTCCTCTTCAAAATGACCTGACAAACAGGTTGGTGCTGTTCGGGAGACATCTCGCGCACAAGGATCGTCGGACCTGGGAGAGGGGATTGAACATGGTTTGAAAAGCTGTCGAGTGGTACTTGCGGAGGTGGTTGCGGCTTTCATGTTCAGGAGAGGAATGTAAGGCTAATGTACAATGATTTGGCTCCGTCGCTTACATTGGCCCCAAATGGGAGCGGGCTTCACTTCTGGCCCATTTTAGGCCCGTGACGGCTTTTCGGCCTCAATCGAAGGTATCAAAGCCTATGACCCAGCATATTTTTAGTGCCCTCCAATGAAGGGAACTTGACGTGTTTTTGAATCGAGGGCACTTAAGGCCGTGTCAGTCGCCTAAGTGACCCTTTGATTTGTTTGCTAAGTGCCCTTTTTGGCTTGATAGGGGTTGGAATTCGGTTGAAATCGAGCAGCTACCCGTGTCAAACTGTGACAACTGCCACATTTGATTGGGGCCGACCCGAAATGGCCGAACATGGCGTGTTGGGTGTCAAAGCGTGTCATTTCAGTGTCAGTGGGGGTGCGAATCGAGGTCGCTTACTGCTTGAAAAGGTCACTTACGCTAGTGTCGGTCCCCCCTGCGTGAGTGTTATTCGGCTCGATTTGCCCAGCGTCGCCCCCCCCCCCCCCGCGGTGTGAGGGTCATTCGCATTCACGTGTCGCTGCGGCTCGATTTGCCCGGACTGAGGGATTTGCTGGGGAGGGCAACCCTGAGGGTCTAAGTGCCCTTTGAATGGCTTAAGTGACCTACTTGAGTTAGGACTAAGTGACCTTATTTTCAAAATGGATCATAGCACACAAAAAAATGAATCGAGGGCATTTAAAAGAAGCTGGCCAAGCAGTACGCACTGTTTAAACCTTAAACCTGCTTATGTGAGGATGAGGTCGGACAAAACGCTTTAATATTGGTGCTTGTTAGGCATCGGACCCCCCCAAAAAAACAAAAAAACAAGGGTTTTCGTTTAGCTTTCCTGAAATAAAACCAACAAAAAGAGGGTTCCCTAAAAAGCAGACACACCCAGGTCACCTCCTTTTGGTTTTGAGATGGACCTTCCATTTGCTTAAGAACATGTGTTGGCTTTAAAGGGAATCTATCACTATTAGAAATACGTTGTTGTTTCTCCAGTTGTGCAGAATCACAAATGGAAGTATGGGGGGAATATATTTGGACCAGGCGCATTTGCCCGCTCTGCAAACGGGGGTTTAAACAAATGGAAGGGATTCGCTTGAAATGCAACCCCTGCCCCAGTTCCCAGGTCATTGCGGACCTGCGCAGTCGTTTTAAGGCCGGGTCGGAGATGAGCTGCGACGTTTGGCGTCTAAAGAAACATGGAAGGGAAGGCTGCCAGTTTGTGTTTTGTTTGTTTTATATTTGTTTCTTTAAAGAAAGCAAACCAATTGGTGGTTGCCCTTTTGTTTGGGTTTCTGTAATGGGAAACTCAAGCAAAGCCACCCGTTTTGTGCTTTCTTGTTGATTTCCCTTGAACGGGGCCACAATCTGCTTGTATTGAGGTTTGAGCGAATTGGGATGTGGCCCGTTCAGGACCTGAATGAGACCTCGCAGCCCCTGGTTTGGGGGGACCGCTGAAGGTCTATTTGAGGGGAATGAGGCGGGGCTGGTTTTCCCGAAATGGCGTTGACAACGGATTTTCTGTCAGGGTCAGATGTCCCTGAAATTTACCATGAAACTGGGCTGTCTAAATCAAATTAGAGTTTAAGGGGTTGAGGGGACTGCAAGGCATCCCTTGTCACACCCAGACCTGATTCTTGGACTTTTTGCGCACAGGCTCAGAAATGGCGCTCTTGCTTCAATCCTTTGTGGCAAGGGAATTTGCTCCAACTCTAGGTAATGAATCCGTAGTGGATTCCTTCTTACAAAGTTCTGAAACTGCTGAAATGTTAGAAGCGTGCTGAATCGGTGTTGGGACGCTGAACATACTATTTGGCCAGCGGGACGATCTCTTAGTAGGGGTGCTGGCTTAGTGTTTCATACCTGGCCAACCCATGTATTTGTCGGAGCCCGTTTGGGGAGCAAGCATGTGCTGAAATGAAAATATGTATTTCCCCTTCGTTTTTTGTTGGAATCTATCACTGGTAATAGTTTCTCATGTTTTCCGGGGGGCAAAAACGAAAACGGAAGGGAGAAGGGTAAACCACAGCAAGAAACACCAGGGATGGTTTATAAGGGTCATTCCTTCATTTTCTGCCTATCGCACCAGCAAGATCTGGACTTCTTTTTAATGTTTTTCAGGTGGTTTACCCGCAAGGCTGGAACCATAGGTGTCCTTTTGATTGGTTTCGTCTGCTTAGACGACGGGTTCCGGCTTAGATTGGCCCCATACACCAAGAGGCCGCCGATGGCATCCGGTCAACACGAGGTTGACTTGCAAGGCATCCGGTTCCTGAGGCTCGTGGTTTTTTAGTTGAAGCACCCAAACTCGGTACATGCTTGGGGAACCCGCCGTTTTTTGGAGGCTTTTGGTTCTGGTTTTGGTTATGGTTGGTTTAAAATGGTTGGTTTTGCGAACTTGACCCACAGGTTAAACTTTTAGCCGGGGATCTGAGGACAGCCCAGTTTATGGGTGCGTGTTTTGTTTGAGGGACCCTTTTGGGGCTGGTTTGAATGGAGACCAAATGAAACCACTCATTTTGGGGGTTCCGATTCCTAAGAGACAAAGCCTGGTCCAGTGAGTGAACCGAAGTTGCTGTGGACCCTTTCCTTGAATCCTCCGAGGCTTGCAACACCAAGAGCAGCCAGGAGAGGGACGAAAGAGGGTCAAAGCCTAAGGTGCCTTTTTGGGGATGGTTGCCACTCCACTGTTCTCTTTTCAGAAGGCTTTCTGGGTGTTCACCGGGCAACCGGGGTTTTGAGCCATAACCATATATATACCCACATTTCTGGAGGGGTGACCCCCTTTAGAGCAGTGAGATTAGGTTTGCCAAACATCGAACCAAAACCGAATTATTAGGACCCCCCTGAAGAAAGGAGCTTTGATTCGGTGCAATGCTTGACGGACAACATGGATACGGCTTGAATCCAGCGGCTCCGGAAGACGACGCTTTGCCGATTGATTGTCCTTCACATCCAAGTGTTGCCCGTAGAAAAGGAACGAACCATAATTCACCTTGAGGAGCCAGTGCTTGTTGACGGGGACCGCAGCCGAAAGGAAGGGTCGGTCTGACTCTTGTCTCCTTTTTAAGGCAGGCTCTAAACGGACAACCAAGGGGAAATCACACACTTTGCGGGTTTCCGTATTTGCAGACCAGCCTATTTGGCGTTCCCTCTGTTGGCGTGTTGGTTGGCTTTCTTTGTTGGTTCATTCTATGTTTGCTAGCATGGGGTTTGCAATGGCGTCGACGATTTCCTGAATTTGAAGACGGCGATGGTGGCGGCTGGGCCCGAGTGTGCCTACAAAAGGCAAGAGTATATACTCCAAGGAGTGGGTGTATGATTCGGCGATGATACCGATGTCTTTGAACAGATGTGTCGAATTCAGCAAGACACCAACGAGGTTCTTCCGGACCTTGGGCCTCGGCTTTCCACCATTTGGGAGGCCGGATTCCCTATCTGCAGCTGCCAAAGGGGTGGAGCCTTTCGTTCCAGACATCACAGCTGGAGCTGCTTGGTCTGCTTGATTTCATCAGCATTGAGTGTCAATCCAGTAGACGCTGGACATGCGCCAGGAGCGCATTACGGGGCAGCTTCAAAGATGAAACCGGCAAACAGTCATGCCATCGTTTACTGACTCGACAAAAAAAAGAAACCAGCAACTACAAGAGGGGGAAAACACCTCAGCCAGGATCCTCCCTTACAAGTTGCTGCCTTTGGACCGGTCCCCCCCAAAAAAACTGCGCTTGTTGTTGATTTCTTATGATTACTACCTGGAGTATATGGGGTTGTTGGGGATGGTCATCCCTTGTTTCTTGTTGTTTCTTTTTGGTGTAGGGGTCGAGAGACCTCAACTAGCAACCGGTAGTGAAATTGTACGGGGTCAAAGACCGGGCCAGTCAAGTTGCGTTGATTCGCCCAAAGCGGACCTTTATCTCTGTTATACTTGTCGATGTTAGGTTCTGGTTTTTGCCGTTTCTTGAGGGCCCTTAGTTTTGTCACGGATCCTTACTGTTTAGTTCACCGTTCTCCGGTTTTGTTTGGAATCAATTGTTTCCGGGTTGGTATGTCCCTGCAGAAGGAGAGTCTCTTGCTTTGGGGAGCAGAAATTGGGTGCCCTCAAGCACAAAAAACATGCCCAGATTTCGTAGGCCTCCGACAACCAGGGCTCCTCCTCTTTGCTTTTTTTCAATCGGAAATCTAGGTCCTAGGTGAACCGGCTCGCCACCATTAATAAGGGGTACCCCATTGGACGAAGCCTTGTTGGGTGATTTTACCATCGCCACTTTGAACCAATGCAAAAAGAGCTTCCTTTTGGCGAGCGATGCTTAAACAGGGTGGAAGAAACTCTTTCTCTTAACAGTGGTCAGCTTGACCAAGCCAGCTCAGACCGCAGGATGAACCTCATTCGGAGATATGGTGTGACGACTCCTACCACGGGCAAGGCGCGTTGGAGAGCTGACGTGCCGGGGGGGGGGGGGGGCGACAATCAAAGAGGGCTGGAAGCGTTCATCTACACGGTCTTGCAACACTTGTTTTCCCATCACGAATCCGTACTTGGACGCCTCATTCATCCATGAACCAAGGGCTCATGCCGCTCGGCAGATTGTGTCGAGCCACTTTTGGGAGCGAGCTCACCCATTCAATCGGGTTATGGTGCCGCTATGAAAGCTACCTTGAGCAAATGTTTGAAGTAGACATGACTGAGATATTCCGCACTGGTCAACCAACAAAGTATTCGGGGAAGGAACACCACTGCCCAGATAGGACGTGTTATTGGCTGCGGCAAGGCCCAGTATAGACTAAGAGGCATGACAAAACAATCTCTGGGCAAATGATAGCGACTTCGCCAGGACACCCATGATGAAGGGGGCATTACCCCCAGCATGATGTGTGTTCTTAACGTTATGCACATGCATATATATATATATATATTTAAGGGCTGCCGCCCTGTGCCGCCGGCCCCTGTGGATCTTGCAACGAATGCCCGAGAGATCCGAAAGCTCGCGCTCTATTTTCACAGCACAGCCTAGAGCACTTACCACATGTATACATATGGCTATGTCTGGGCGTGAAAACTGTAACACCCCGCCTGAGAAGAGTCCCAATGGGATGTCTTCTCCCTACAGTTTCACCCCGAGCTTCAATAGCACTACTGGCTACCGGCTCAAACTGCGATGACCAGGGATAGCGCAAAAACGTGCACTCTTTGGTTGATACACAACCCAACTTAGTACCACCGGGCTTACACCATGCCCTCCATGCCACTGTCTTCAGGCGGCTGAAAAAGCGATGCAGTCACCAAAGCCTTCGGGTGACTGCTTCCGTGTTGGCCATTGCATCAGTATCATCTGCAGGATACTGAAAAGTCCTGCGCCTTTGTCTCACTTCCTTTTCTTGTCAATTTCCTTCTTCTTCTTCCCATCGCCTTCACCGCCACTCACTAATGATGATAACTACTATGATGATGATCAGGGTGATGATAATGACCATGAGGATGATGATAAGGATGACGACGATGATGATAACTATCATCGCAGCATCCTCTGCATTACCAATGCTACGCATCTTCTGCATTAGCGGGAAACTCGAAAAGTGTATCAACAAGAGATAAGGACGATGACGATAATGATGATGATGACGAGCACCATGATGATAATGTAAGTAAGGACGATGACGATGACGATGATGATGATGATGATGAGCAGCATGAGCTGATGATTACGACCCATCTCGACCCAACTAACCTGGGGCAATGGCTTGAAGGCTACGCTGGTCGTGGATGGCATTTAGCAACACATAGCATATCGGAAGTGTTTCTACAGCTGGAGATCATTTTGGATAGCCGGAATACCAAGCTTTGATCCTCCGAGATGTGTAGCCACCCTTCCCGTGCGCCTCGCCCTTGCGGACAAGGGGTCGGCGGATATACGTATCTTAAAATTGTGTGTGTATATTGGTTTATACGCATATGTGCATGCATATGCCTGAAAAACACAGATACATACTTCAGCCCCCCTTCCGCGGTTGTGGGCCTTGGGGACGGACTCCAGGTATGTCGCTAATGTCGCTGGGCGTCGCGAGTATTTCGCCAAGCCGTGCCAGGGACGCGCCCGGTCTTCGTGCGAGCGAAGATCACTGAGCTGGGCAAGGAGAGTCTCATGGCTCGGTCGGTGATTTTAGGGGACACCACGCGATTTTGGGCAGGTTTTTAGGTTTTAGTCGGTTGGTTGGGATTTTAGCGTTTTTGCTGGTTTTTAGTGCTTTTGTTGGTTGAGTGTGTAGTGTTTTTGTTGGTTGGATTTTTGACTTGGTTTCATGGTTGGGTTTGTTCCCAGGCATCCTTTGAGGTGTTTAGGTGCTGCGTTGGTTGGTTGGGTTTTTACTTGTTTGACCCAGAAGAGCGTCTACATGGCTTGGTGGTTCCCAGGCATTTGGGCAGGCAATGTTGACCCCCCAAAGTATAAACCCCTGTGTATTACTATGGGGGGTGGCCCTCCCAAAAGTGATGACTCTTCACTAAACCCAGGGACCCCCCTATTGATTAAATTGGGGTTGATTTATATATGGGGTCAACATTTCCCCTGGTTTCCCAGTTTTGGAAATGTAGCTTCCCGCTTGTGTATCCATGTATTTGAGCTTCAGTGGCATTTTGAAGGGGCAATGGTTCCCAGCCATCCCCCTCATTATTTTAGGTTCTACTCGTAGTTGGTTTAGTGGGTGGGTTTCCGAATTTGACCCACAAGTTCAACTTGTAGCAGGAAATCTGAGGAAAGTCTCTACATATGAGTCTGCCTTAGAAAGTGCCAGTGAATCTTAATGAGGGAGACCCTAAAAAGTTGCTGATGAACCCAAATCCAAGCGACGAGCGGAGCTTCCGGAAATGTGGAAATCCAAAGGCCTAAAACTGTCGGGTGGGCAAAAATAATCCCTTGGTGGGGTAGCAATTTCGAATGCAAATCCCAGTTGCAACTAGTGGATTCTGCCCCTTTCAACTTGTTTTTTGAGAAGGGTTCCGTATCCTTTAAAGTCAACCAACCAAAAAGGATGCCCTTGTTGCCCATGGCCACTGGGCATCTGAGAAATTGGTATTGGAAGTATCTTTGATCATTCCTTGCGTGCTGCAAACCCTTTCCACTCGCGCATCGTGGTGGGGCAGAAGCGGTCGTGGATTTGAAGATGCGTGCGTCTGCGCGGGCTTGTGCCGATTCGCTCGAGCAGCGCCCAAATTGGTTGCTAGCAAGTTTGCGGGAGTTCAACTGAGCAGTAGAACGATATTTATGGAACTCGTGTGAGGTGGACTGTCTGTCAAAACGAATTTGGTTTGTTTTAAATGTTTGGGTTTTCTTTAGTTTCTTGTTTTGCTCTTGTTCGAAAAGCTTGAACTGCGGGTCCCCTGATTCCCGCTTGTCTGAGAGCATCGGTCGGGTTCACGTGATCGGGCCATGCTAGCTACCTTAAAATCAACACAACCGCCAGTTCCACCCTATTCAGAGTACCTGCGGAATATACACTTCCACGAATTCCAGGGAAGCACCCCTGGATGAATCTAACATTGATAAGGGCTGAACACAAATTGATAGAAGCCCTGTATTATGAATCCAAAAGTTCAATACTTCGGCTTTATCCGAAGTTGATAAGGGGTTAATACATTTGATAAGGGAGCCTTTCTATGAATCCAGAATCTTATTCCTTGCTCAGACATACGACCTCTGACGTCGGACACTCGACCCCAGTGCCAGGAGGACTCCTGGTGCGCGTGCCTCACTCCTGAGGCCAAAGCTGCCGCGCGGGAGGAGCCCTGAGCCCAGGTGGCAGGGGTGCGTTGACCATCACCTCCTCTGGGATCAGCCCTTTGAATATGTGTGGCCAGTTTCGACTATGGGAATCAAACAAGTTTCGAATAAATCCACTGGGATCAAACAAGCTTCGACCAACACCTTTTCTTCCTTATTCATAAAATATGGTTAGGTTCAGAAGTAATATGTTCCAGAAACAGGTTTCGACCAAACTCCTTTTCTTTCCAAATCACAAAATGTGGTTCGGTTTAGAAGTAGGAACCAGGATCAAGCGCAGTATTTTGGCTAGGGAAGTTGCCGAGGTAGTTTGGGCGATTTTGCAGGCTTGATCCAACAACGAGTAGGACACTGGGGAGAAGGGTTCCCTTTAGTTTCATTTCATGAGGGACCCGTCCCAGCGTTTTTGGAGGCATGTGCAAGGAACTCAATCCCAAAACAGGTGCGGATGTCCTCCCTATTATACGTTTTGGGAAAACCATTTCGGTGGCCACCAAAAAGTTTTGACTTGTTTTGACCAAGATTGATTCCTTGCATGGCTTTGGGGTTGCCCCTGTAGTACCAGGTCTTGTTTCTTGACTCCAAAAGATGCAGCTTCTGTCCCAACATGTTCGCGCGCAGCCGTTTACTTGAGAGACGGGGGTTCTTCCCGAGGGCAGTTTACATGAAAGCTTGAACCACTTCTGGAGGATGCCTTGTTTTGGCGTTGCTTCTTTGTACTAATGTTGGATACATGTTCAGATGTTTAAGTGTTTTTGCAAACCTGTTTGCACGTAGGATCCAACCGGCATGTGCATGTGTCCTATGACTTTCTGACCTGCAAACAGTGGTGTTTGCAATTTGTTTTTTTCGACTAGATGTGGCAAAGTGCCGCTTCTCCACGAGTTTGCAGGCAGCATTCCTGAATATATTGAAAGCAAGCACGGTCGATGGATGTTGAGAAAACCGTGTGTGTGTGTGTGTGTGTGACACTGTGTGTGTGTGACACTGTGTGTGTGTGTGTTGACCACGCTCTGAAATATGTTTTCAACTATGTAATAGGGGATAAGACATGTTGGTGTCAATCCTGAGTCTCGACCGGATTTATTATCGCCTCTTTTGCGTTTTCAATGGTTCCTGACTCATTGTCGGGCCCAGATGAATATATTGGGCTCCCTTTTCACGCATCCAGCTCCAGCACCAGAAGTCACGTGCAAATATGTCTTAAGGGACCGCAAGGAAATAATATATTTCGGATTTTGTGAGCGTTCGAGGGTCTCAAATAGCTTATCTCTCTGGGTTATTTGAGGGTCCGATTTCTTGCTTCATAGAATCTCTTTACACACTGACGGACCGTAGCACATGTTGATGGTCGATTATTGTTTCTGGGATCTCTTTTGAGATTATTGTACAAATTGTACAGTTTACAGTTCACTAAATATGGCTTTTGGTTGGGGGCAAAGCTGATGTAGATTTGGCATTGAATATCATGGCATATCTCCAAGATTTTGCCGACTGTCAAGCCACTATCCGTGGGGTATACCCTGTTTTCCCTTGGGGGTATGGATTTGGGGGGCACTGGAAATTATCTTGTAACTTGGGGTTGGGGGCCTCAATTTTCTGGGACCATCACCGGGTACTTTAACTTGCATTATCCTAGAATGTCATGGGAGATAGATCAATCCCGGTCTACTGTTTGAAACGTAAGGGTATGTTTTAATGGTGGTTTGAACTGCAGGGTTTTCCCTTTCCAGCAAATGGCACAAGAGTCTAACCACTCCCTGGCTCAAATCGATTTTCACGCCAGACCTTGGTAGCTCCTTGGCTTGACCGAACTGACCTTAAAGCTGCTTAAAAAAAAACAAAAACGATTCCCCACAACACCATCAACAGCTCAGTTTCCAGTCCTTTTTGGGCTTCCATGTTCTTTTGTGCCACGTTCAACCTGAGCTCATGGCTTTCAGACAAGCGGCCCAAATCTCACTTGGGTCTGTTTGTTTGCTTTGTTCTCAGTTGGTACCCTTTTAGGAGAGTTTTAAATGAAACTAGATCTGTCCGTGAGGCAAACCGAAGCTTGGGGGATTCCCCTAAAACAAGGCACGCGCATTTTTTGCAGTGAATCACCGGAGCATGTTTTTGCGGTGAACCGGGGCAATGCGGAGAATCGGATGCCCAGCAACGTTCGTGTGGCATGGGAAGCATCAGAATGTGTCCAAAAATGTGAGCCACAAGGAGAACATTAGCAAATCAGCTCTCAAAAGTGGCGAACAAACCTCTCTGGAGTCTGGTTCACTTGGACCGGTTGCTCTCCGATTTACTCCCCTGCGGATTAACATCACATAGGGGGGTCCATTTCCCAAAGGGAGATTCCCACGGTCTTCTGGGGTGTCTAAAAGCGTTGGGCTGAGTGCCACGTGGCATCATACCCCAAAACCAGTGAGTATCTGGAATCCTAGGGGTACCTTCCGATTCCATTCTTTCCAGGGATTCCAGGGATCCGGATCTTTCTAGAAAACCTCCCGAAACCCGATCGGGAAACGGATCCGGTTTTCGGACAGAAGGATGGTTGAAAAGAATGCTTAGCCAGTTTTCGGTTCAAGCATCGCCAGTGCGGGGTTTTCCGGTTGCTTGCTGCATTGCTTCAGCGTCGCCATGGGTGTTGATGCTCCAGTTCCCTCCAGGGCGATGGTGCTGTGCGCGGATTGGTGCAACATCTTTGCAGGAGAGGGCCAACGGCCTGACCCCATTTAATTTCCCTGAGTTCCGTTTCGGACTTTAGTCACTTTTGGGGGATGGGGCAAACAAACAAAGTTTGTTTGCTTTTTTGGGACCATCACCGCCCTGCTGCATTCCAACCCCCCTAATGGGATCCCCTTTTGTAGAATCAGGAATCATTCTTACACCCTCCTTGTAGATGTTGCTGCCCTGCTCGTCAAACGTCCAGATCTATTCCCGGCCACGCATCACCTTTTTTGACCCTGAGGCATTTCGCTGGTGATCTCCTTCTTGATCATCACCGGGGCGTTCACCTTCAATTGGTTCGAGATGCAAGGCCCGCTTCCGCCCGCTTCCGCCCGATCAGGGAGACAGCTACAAAACCGAGCAAGGGGCTGCTGCCTGGTGGCAGCCATGTTGGTAGAACTAAAGGTGAATGGTCTTTCGGTGCTGCTCCGTTGGTTGGAACATGCTTTAGGGCCACTTTCTGCGATGCCAAGGAACTCCCTGGAGAGTGGTAAAGTACTTTTGGGGCTGAGCCACTTTCTCCCCTTCAATCAAGTTTCAAGATGTCCACTCATTTGAAGGGGAGTTGGTGTCGCATTTTGAGTTGAGCATGTGGTTTTCATTCCGGCCTGGCTTCTCTGATGCCAAGGGGATTCATTGATCTTGGCTCCCAGCCATCCCCTTAGCTTTTTAGTGTTTAGTGGGTGAAATGGATGGGGATGTCCATTTCACCCACTAAAAGTCAGTCACTTTTCGCGGGGGATCAGAAAACGGGCAGAGTGATGAGACAATCTTCTGGAAAGTCCCCAGGCGGGTGGCACACGGCCATGCAAGTCACCATGACCTTGGAGGGCATCCTTTGGGCCATCGCCGCCGCCCTCTTGGCAAGGATCAACGTGGTGGTGAACAACGCCGCGGCGGCTCGGCGGTTTGGCAAGGGAACCCGAACTCCTCGGTTCTCAGGAGACTCCTCCTTGGTGTGGCGCTTCTTTTTTTTTGCGTTTTTGAGAAGGTGATGTTTTCCTTTTACTTTCTTTTGTGGGGCAGATGCATTGTTACACTAGGTCCCCCAGCAGTGCCCTTTCTCACCCCGTTTTTGGTTGGGAGGGTTCCCATCTAATACAATAGACGAAGCAGAAACAAGTTGGTACCCTTATTCTAACCTCTCTACTGGAGGACTTAGCCTCTCAACATGGCGGTCTTCGGGTTTTGTCATGCCACTATGCAGAGAAATGTTGACCCCATATTGATCAGCCCCAGTTTATTTTAGTGCCTCCGGCTCAGGCCGCCGACATTACAGGCCTGCTTTCTTATTTGCGTCCCTTTGGAATTGTCCCCTTGCCCCCTTCCCCTCTGAGATTGTTGCCCCCCTTTCTTTGTTGAGATCCATTCCCCCTTTCCGCCCGAAGGCCTTTTCTCCCTCTGTTTTTTTCCCTTTTCCTCCCTAAGATGTTTTCACCCCTCTCCCTGTTGAGATCCTTTCCCCCCTTTCCCCCCTAAGGCCTTTTCCCCCCTGAGATCTTCTCCCTTTGCCTCCCTAAGATCTCCCAGATCGTCTCCCTTTCAGGGAGAAGATCTGGGAGAAAAGGACTTAGGGGGGAAAGCCCAACAGGGAAAGGGGGGAAAAGATTTAGGAAGGAAAAGGGAGAAGCTCTCAGGGGGGGGAAAGGCCTTAGGGGGGAAAGGGGGAAAAGGATCTCAGCGGGGGGGGGGGAAGATCTTAGGGAGGAAAGGGAGAAGATCTGGGGACAAAGGCCTTAGGGGGGAAAGGGGAGAAATGATCTCAACAGGGAAAGGGGTGGAAAAGATCTTAGGGCGGAAAGGGAGAAGATCTGGGAGAAAAAAGGCCAACAGGGAAAGGGGGGAAAGACCTAAGGAAGGAAAAGGGAGAAGCTCTCAGGGGGGGGAAAGGCCTGAGGGGGGAAAGGGTGGGAAGGATCTCAACAGGGAAAGGGGGGAAACAATCTTAGGAAGGAAAGGGAGAAGATCTGGAAAGGCCTTAAAGGGAAGGGGGGAAAGGATCTCAACAGGGAAAGGGGGCAAAGGATCTTAAGGAGGAATAGGAAGAAGATCTCAGCGGGGGGAAAGGCCGTAGGGGGGAAAGAGGGGAAAGGATCTCAACAGGGAAAGGGGGGGAAAGATCTCAGTGAAAAAGGGAGAAGGTCCCAGGCAGGGGGGGGAAAGGGGGAAAGGATCTCAACAGGGACAGGGGGCAAAGGATCTTAGGGAGGAAAAGGGAGAAGATCTGAAAAGGCCTTAGGGGGAAAAGGGGGAAAGGAGCTCAACAGGGAAAGGTGGGA